GAATGTGTAGTATTGACTTGTTGAAGATAATCATGAGAACATGTAATGTTACTTGCCTTATAGGTTAGAAAAAGTGTGTATATCACCTTTTTGTATATAATGATTTTTATAACTTTTCCTTCATAATTTTCCTGATCACCCATTTCACAAAATCTTAAATATGCAATTATTTATTATGGCACATTACTGCGACTCAAGTTCCCATTTCAAAACAAATTTTCATTCTATACATACGAACAAGATGAGCTAAGTGTTACTTACCTAAATGTGGGGTTTTTTTCTGGAAAATAAATGAAAACTATACAAATAAATTTAATTGTAAACCTTTTTTTAGTGCTAGTCTCTTAAAATGTTCAAGTGTCTAGAAAGCTTAATTGTATGTTTAGGGTGGGATAGTGGGCAAAGTGTTGGCATAGCCCAAAGGTTTTAGTCAGAGAAGTCTCAGTTCTATAACGATGGAACTAAGAAATCCACTCAGTGATTGCCTATTTCCTTATCTGACATAAAATAAAGCTATTATATTCTATATCTTAAGAGTGGCACTCGCCTACTAACCCAAATGTTGGCAGTTTCAACCCACCTAGCAAAGCTGCAGGTGAAAGCCTTCATAATCAGCTTCCATAAAGATTATGACCCAGAAAACCCTGTGCAGCAATTCTACTCTCTAACATCGTGGTAACCACGACTAAGAATCAACTCAAAGATTAAATGAGAATATTTATTGGCTGCTACATAGCGCATGGCATTTTTAATTGCTTTGTATGCATGCATAAGTTGAACAATGAATAAAGACCAAAGAATAATTGATGCCTTTAAATTGTGGTGTTGGCGAAGAGTACTGTCTATACCTTCAATTGCCAAAAGAACAAACAAGTCTGTCTTGAAGGCAGAGTAACAAGGATGCTCCTTAGAGGAAAAGATGGTTAAAGTCTTTCTCACATAGTTTGGGCATACTGTGTGGAGAAGCCAATCAATGAGAAAAAAAAAAATCATACTGGGAAAAGTAGAGGATCAGTGAAAGCGAATTAAAGAGAGGAACTGACACAGTGACAGCAACAATGGACTTGAGCAGGGCGTGAGCTTCGCAATGGTGCAGGGCAAGGCAAGGTTTTGGTCTATTGTTCAGAGAGTTGCTTTGAGTCAAAGCTCACTGCATGGCACCTAACAACAATCCAGTAACCACAGCCTAAACACAACATAGTGTGCAGCAGATCTTCAATTAGCAGCCCTTTGCTGTTCTTATAGAACATTGAGATTGAGATTGATCAGGAAATTTTAATGGCTTTCCTCTTTTATAAACCTCACATGGCTACCATGATCAAGCACTCCTCACAGGCCATGTGCTAGGCAAGCTGCTTAACAAAACCAACCAAATTCACTGCAATCAAGTAGATTCTGATGCATAATTACTTTAGGACAGAGTAGAAGTGCTCGTTAGTCTTTCCAAGGCAAAAGCTGACCATCTCATCTTTGTCCTGGAACCATACTGGAGGATTTAAATCACTGACCTTTTGCTTAGGAGCCAAGTGCCTTGGCAACAGCCCCAGTAGAACTCCTCAGCCACATGCTTGTGGCATTATTTTTCAACCCTCAAGTTCTACAAAAGGTCGTTTGATTTTATTTTCCATTTGGGGAAGACTAGTCCCTAGCTAGGGTGGAATAAAGGTAAAGAGGTACCAATCTCATACAACACATCACTTCAAAATGTCTCAACTTTATTGAGTTGCAAAGCAATCTTAATGAAAGTATTACGGAGGGAGGAAATAAATTGTAATGTACTAGAATTAAGGACAGTGAGTTCTAGTGATGTGACTTATTATTTAATGCCTTAGAATCTCTGTTTTCAGAATCTGCTAACGGAGAATAGTTCTTTTGAGATAGTTGTTGAGATAACTAAATAAAACTAAAATTGTTTGCCAAAATTTAGCACATAAATCAATCCTCTATTCCCATATGTTGGGTGAGGGGTGGAAAGCAATGTTAAGCAGCCAGAGAAGAGGAGTTGTTTACTTTCTTCCTGTGCCTAGAGTTTCCTGTCTTGAGAAATCCCAGCAATTCCCGCCCCTGTTTCTGTTATCTCGGAGAAAGAGGGTCTGAAGAACAATTCTAGTGGTGGCTTGTTGAGTCCCCAAGTCCTCCTCCCTATAGGATAAATGACTCTCGGTTCTCGGTCACCTGAGGGCGCTGCTGGGTTTAGGCCTGGGTTGGTGATGAAATCCTTTTACATCTGTGGGGGCAGAGAAGACCACACAAGAGCCCAGTCCAGCGCAAGCGGGCTGAGGGCGCTGTTTGAGGTCACCCTGGCGACCAGCAGAGGAGGCAAGAAGGCGTGAGCGAGAGGCCGCAGACTCAAGTCGGAGGCAGGACGTTGAAGCTGTGAAGTGCAATAGTGTCCTCCGTAGGCGATCCAGGGGTCCAGAAGGCGCCCACGCTGCAGCGGCGTGCAGGTGAGGGCTCCCGCGCGCGAAGGCGAGAAGGGGAGGGCAAGGGAGGCAGGTTAGGGGTCTCTCTGGGGTGTCCCAGGGACCGGAGCGCCCCTGCTCTGAGAACGGCGAACTTTTGCACTTAGCCACTGGCTGCTTCATTTCTCCAGCCCTACGCCTAGTTTCTGGATTCCTCTATGTTTTCTTTTTTCTTTTTTTAAATTTCCATCCCCCTGCTCCACTTTTTGTTATTGACATATAACCACCTATGCGAGATATGTGTATATATATATATAATATATATTTTTATATATATTTTTATAAATCTTTTTATATATCTTTTTATATCTCTTCTTATATTTTTATATATCTTTATATATATTTTACATATCTTTTTATATTTTATATCTATTTATATATATATAATTATATATATGTCTTTTTATATAAAGCACCACCTGTGCTTTATTCATGCTAAGCCACACACACTCCCTTATCCACACTGTTTTTCATAAAATTAATTAATTTCCACCTATCTATGTCTGTTATCACAATGTCAACAAACTAACCTCAACTCTACTCTTCGTCACCCCCTAACACACACCCTCATCCTGCCTGCTCTTCTGTATTAAGTACTTTATCTACCTCATCTCCTTTTTTATTTATTTATTATTTTAATTTTGTCAACTAATGATTTAAAAGACACATGAACCCCGCAATATGGACTACACAGGAACTCGAGTGACTAAAGTTGTGGAAAGAAATGGTAGAGAAGCTCGACGTATGTAGTCAAAACAAGGTCAGTGGAACAGACCATTAATTACTAAAAAGCAAGTTCAAATTAAAATTGAAGAAAATTGAAATCAGTCCATGAAAACCAAATATTACCTTCAGTCTCTCCCTTTAAGTGGAAAAAACAAAACAAAACAAAAACCTGCTAGAGGAGGAAAGTTTGAGAAAACTCTACAAAATTAATAATATTGTTTTCCTTTCTTTTATTCATACACATTGGTTCACACTTTCTTCATTCTCACTGTGTTTCATTCGATCATTCCCATACATTGTTATAAAATTAGTCACCTTTGATCTATGTCCATCATTACTCTGTCTTTTCAGATCCCCACTGGACCTTTCCTAATTCCTTCACCAGCGCTCTGCTTAATATACATATATGTATATAGTTGTTGTTGTTGTTGTGTACCATCAAGTCAGAACCTACCCATGTCTGATGTTTTGGTGGGTTTGCACCAGAGGAGATTACCCATCTTTCTCCCCATATATAAGATAGTATGTAGTAGTATCATAGAGCTGGACAATAAGGATGACAGAAGAAGAATCAGTGCCTTCGAATTGTGGTGCTGGAGAAGAGCCTTGCACATACCATGGACTGCCAAGAAAGAAATAGATCTGTCTTAGAGAGGGTGAAACCAAATTTCTTCTTGGAGGCTAGGATTTTGAAGCTCTGTCTCATGTACTTTGGGTATGTGGCTGGTCCTTGGAGAAGGACATCATATATGGAAGGGTGGAGGGACAGTGCAGGGGAGGAAGACCCCGGATGAGATGATACTGTAACTGGGGCATTGCAGAGTGGTGTGTCGAAATTAGTGAGGCTGGCTTAGGACAGGGCAAGCTTCAGAGCTGCTGTACGTGGTATTCCTGTTAGTCGCGGGCAACTTAGCGGCACATTAACAACAGTATTAATAAGTGGGAGAAAGATGGACAGTCTCCTCTGGTGTGATTTACTGTCTCTGAAAACCTGCTGGAGGGACAGCTATGGGTGCCAACTCAAAGGCACACAACAACTCCTAGCCCCAGGGAGCTCCGGTGGCCCTAGAGGAAAGAATCTGTGCTACAATTCCAGTGTCACACTGTTAGAATCCACCAGCTTGCTCCACGGGAGAATGAGCAGTCTCCTCCCATTAAACCTACTGCCTCTGAAAACCTGCTGGAGGGTCAGCTATGAATCGATTCCAGCTCAATGGTACACAGCTACAACCCCAGCCACAGCCAATAAGAAAAAGTGATAGTGAGTCCTGGAAAAATCAGCCATTGGAAACCCTACAGAGTATATACAGTTCTGCTGTGACACATAGTTCCCCATGGGTCACAATCCCCTCAGAAACAACTGCGGTGTTTTTGTTTGTTTTTTTATTGTTTTGTTTTGTTTTGTTTTGTTTTTTTGGTCACAGCGCAGAACACACCCTGGTGTTCTTGTCCATTTTACCCAATACTCGTTTTTCAACTTCTTTTAAAGCCTCGCAGGGCACACTTTTAGGGAATTGCACTGCTAATCCAAAGGTCACTCCACTCTGATGGTACAAATACACCAGTTGCCACGTAGAAGAATGATAGACAGTCTCCTCCTATGTAATCTATAGCCTCACTGAACTCACTGAAGGGTCAGTTATGAGGCACTTCCAACTCAAGAACAATGAGCTTCAATGACTACCACAGCACCTGGCTCGAACTCACCAGCTGCTTCTCAAGGGAAAGATGGGCAGTCTCCTCCAAGGCAATGTACTGCCCCTGAAAACCTGCTGGAGAGGCAGCTCTGAGTCGGTTCCAACTTGACGGCATATGACAACAAAAACGGTATGTAAAGATTACCAAATCAATGTCTTTATGTAGGCAAAGAGACCATCAAATGATTGAAGTCTAAATTGTGGAAAATCCATTCCCATTACCAGCTTTTCAGCAAATATTTGTGGAAGAAAGGTAAATTTTCCAATAAAATACTTTGTTAAAAGTTCTCTTTCTTTTTTGTAAATAACACTTGTTATTTGTGAGGTAGAAAGATTTTGGACTTTTAAAAAAAGAACTAGTTGTTTCTTTTTAGAGCAACATATTAATTAGCAAACCTTTTATCAATATATTTGAGAGCAAGTAAAAAAAAATTCTGATTTCAGTGTGGGACAACATCAATTCTCAGTGGCTCTATATTTTTGGTATTCTTAAACATCTTCCTACAGGTTAGTATCTGCCTGTGTGAATTGAGTACATAATTGCATGAGAAAAATTGTTGTTGTTGTTGTTATGTGCCGTCGAGTCGTTTGTGACTCATAGCGACCCTATGAACAACAGCCCTAAACCCTGCTCTATCCTGTGCCAGTCTCATTGCCTCTGACACACCCATCCCGATTACCCAGTCACTGAATCAATCCACCTCATAGAGGGTCTTCCCCTCCTGCACTGTCCCTCTACTCTACCCAGCATGATGTCCCTCTCCAAAGACCTGTCTCTCCTTACAACATGTCAAAAGTATGTCAGACGAAGCCCCAGAATCCTTGCCTCCAAGGAGCAGCCTGCTTTAACCCTCTCTAGGATGAATCTGTTTGTTTTCTTGGCAGTCCATGGTACATTCAATACTCTTCTCCAGCACCACAGCTCAAAGGCATCAATTCTCCTTCTATCCTCCCTAGTGAAAAATTAGCAGTTATTATATTTCCAGTTATGCTGAACAAAGTAGTAACTCACTGCTATCAAAGCACAGTGAGTTCCATCAGGTGTTTGAGACTGTAAATCTTTACAGGAGGAGACTGCCCATCTTCCTTCCAAGAGGTAGATAAAATACGTACCATTCCACCAGGGCCCCTCTACTGTAAATTCATCTTGAAGATACTCAACATACATGTTCAAAAAGTATATAAGTCTGTGCACTTAATCTGGAAATGAGTTCTAGTTATACTAAAATGTTGACATATCTTTCTTTCATCATTTTGCAAAAATCCTCCATAGGTTGTGATGATGTCAGACACTACTAGAAACAGAGGGACCCACTTATTAAAGAAGAGAGAAAGTGTGTCTTCCCTAAGTAGTCATGAATTCCGGCAGAAGGAGCTTCCTGGCCGTACCAAAGTGTGAGTAACAGAATGTCCAATGACTCAAATTCAATACTTAAATACATTGGTTTGTAATATTTATGGGAGAGAAAGGCATCATTTCTTTCAGACATGAAAATGAAAGAAATGAACTAGTATATCATTTCATGGTTTTAGACCATATTGAAAAAAGAGAGTAAGAAGTGGAGGTATGTTGTTGTTACTAAGTGATACAGACTCCCAACATTTATTTTTTAGGGGGAGGTTCCCAAATATATTATTTTTAAAAAACTACCCAAAACAATGCATCTACTCGAAAGAAACATCATATGCAATGTAAACAAGCTACCTTTTTCCTGCTTCTTGAATTCTTTTTAATACTGAGGGAGCTCTGGTAGCCTAGACTGTAGGGCTTGTCTTGTTAGCCCACAGGCTATGCCTCTATTGTGATTCAGTCCACTAGTAGCTCCCAGGAATCCACCAGCAGCCCCACGTGTATTTACAAACTCAGGAAACCCATTGGAGGGGGAGCTATGAGTTGGTTTCAACTCAACTACAAAGAGTTTTTGAGTGAGTTTCTCCTTCATAGTATACATTTTTGCATGGCAGTCTAGTGGCAAGAAACTGCACTGCACTCCTGAAGGCACATGGTTCGAGGCCACCAGCTGTTCTGCTGGAGAAGGATGGGCAGTTTCCTCCCATGTGATTAACTGCCTCTGAAAACCTGCCAGAGGGTCAGCTATGGGTCGGTTTTGACACAACAATACTCAGCAACAACAACCACAACAACGTATATACATTTACCATTTTCATACATTTTTAAAAATCTTTTCAAAGTCTTGTTTCACATTCTTTCAAATGAGTAAATATTCTGTCAATTTATAATTCATGAATTAGGTAACCGTTCCCCAGTTATGGGACATTTTAAGTTTTTTTATTCTGTGTGGTTGGTTGATTTACTTTACATTAATAAAGTGTCTCTGCTTGGTTGCTATTCAAAAGTATAATTAATTAATAGGTCAAAGGTAGTAAAAACATCCTGGAGACTTGCTACTTACTAGGTTAGGCACCTAAAGAAACAAATCCATTTTTAATATTTTTTAATATTTTTGTAGCATTTCTTTTTTGACTAGGAAGAAGAAAAAAAATACCTAATACAGAAGACAGTTACCTATTTTTGGAAAAGTCTGTCCTTTTCCCCCCTCTTTTTTTTTTCTCTTTTTTTATTAATTAATTTTAATGAAAGTTTACAGTGACTTTGGATTTCCATTCATTCATTGTTGCACTTTTCTCCCTGCCCAACCTCCTCCCCCACACCCAGTTCCCTCTTCTCTTTGAAAAGTAAAAGAAAAATTCTTTAATTGTTTTACAATCCCTCCCCCCAAGTCCATTCCACTGTGCAGGCTTTGTTCTGGACTCCTGTCATGACAATAATACCTAATCATATATCTCTTTTAAACAGTTTTCTCCCTCATCTGCTTCAATGCAGTGTATATAATTTATCCTGTCTTTCTTAGTCTCCCTCCAACCCCAATATGAGTCCCATTTTACAACAGTGGCACTATGCAGTATTTGTCCTTTTGTGACTGACTGAGATATTTCACTCAGCATAATGTCCTCCAGGGTCATCCATTTTGTATATTTCTTAAGTTACTTGTTTTTCAATGCAGTGCAATATTCCATTGTGTGAATATACCACAGCTTCTCTATCCATTCCTTTGTTGATGGGCATTTAGATTGTTTCCAACTCTTTGCTATTGTGAACAAAACCACAATAAGCATGAGTGTGCATATATCCACTTGGGTGGCAGTTATGGTTTCTTTGGGGTATATTCCTGGTAGTAGAATTGCTGAGTCAAATGGTATTTCTGTTTGCAATTCTTTTTTGAGAAAGCTCCATACAAAAGGGAAGCCACAGTTTGGGGAAAAATATTTGGTAATGACATGTCAGATAAGGGACTTATATCTAGAATTTATAAAATACTTGAGCACCACGACAAGGTAAAAGTGAACAACCCAATTGAAAAGTGAGCACAGGATATGAACAGACACTTCACCAAAGAAGACATTCAGATGGTGAACACATGAAGAAATGTTCAAAATCCCTACCTCTAAGAGAGATGAAAATCAAAACAACCATGAGATATCATCTCACCCCAGTAAGAATAGCAAAATTTAACAGAACAGCGAACAGCACATGCTGGTGAATTTGTAGAGAAACTGGAAGACTATCCTTCTTAATGGTTCCCAGCACACTGAAGCATGGGACATCTTAAATGTTGTGGTAGGGGAACAGGAGCTGGTACGTTCTGTGGCAAAGAGATTGAAAGAAGATAAGTATCCATTCAACTCAACTCACTGCTGTTGAGTTAAAACTGACTCGAACATAACTGACCATCAGCAGATTTTCAGAGGCTGTAAATGACACAATAGGAGATTGCTCATCTTTCCCCCATGGAGCAGCTGGTGGATTTGAACCAATCAGCCTTTGGATTGGCATTGGAACTCCCTACTGACTAGGCCATCAGAGCTCCTTAAATATTCACTCCTTGTTGTTTTGTGCTGTTGAATTGAAAATGACTCATGGCAGTGACTCCTCTGGGTTTTCAGAGTCAGTAAATTGCATGGGAGGAGATTACCCTTCCTTCTCCTGCAGAGCAGCTGGTGGATTCAAACCATGTGCCTTCCAAACCACATGCCTTTGGGATTGCAGTATAGCTTCTTACCACTAGGCCACCAGAGTTCCATAAATGTACATTAGGGTTCCAAATCCAGACTTATTCTATTCCCAGGATTTATTAGTGCCCTTTGTAACAACTGTACTTTCAACCCTAGATGTTTGTGGATTGCTGTTGTTATGTGCCATCGAGTCACCTGCAACCCATAGTGACCCTATGTACAGAAGCTCTGAACACTGTCCTGTCCTGAGCCATTCTCATTAATTCTGACACACCAACCCCCATTGTCCCAGCCACTGTATCAGTCCATCTCATCGGGGGTCTTTCTCTCCTACACTTCCACCTTTTGAATATGATGTCTTTCTCCAAGGACCAGTCTCTCCTCACCATTTGCCCAAAGTATGTGAGATAGAGCTTCAGAATCCTCTCCTCCAAGGAGAAACTTGTTTTCACTCTCTCCAAGAGAGACCTATTTGTTTTCTTTGCAGTCCATGGTATGATCAAGACTCTTTTCCAGCACCACAACTCGAAGGCATCAATTCTTCTATAATCCTTAGTCATTGCTCAGCTCTCTGAAGCATAACAAGTAATTGTGAAGACCATGGCCTGCATCAGGCACACCTTAGTCTCTAGACTGACATCATTGCTTTTCAGCAGCCTGGAGAGGTCCCTAACAGCAGATTTTCCCAATGCAATTCATACAAATAGCATTTATTCTGCTGATGGAAACAAAATAAATGAGTGGCAATCCCAGTATATGTCGGAAGGATAGATGAGAAAATAATACGCTTTAAACTTGTTAATTTACCCTGACCCTAAGCCATTCTAGGTGATATTTACAATATTAAAAAAGTAATTTTTAAAATTACTTTAAAATACTTGCTTAAATTCACTTTTTATACAAAATGAGTGTGGCATGCAGGATCCACAGCCTCCTGCTGCTTCTCTCACACATTCCTATCCTCTGACCATTTATTCAACCACCATGATATTTCAGTGCTGTCGCTTACCTCTAGCCACTGTCTCAAACTGCCTGCTGTCCCTGGAATTCTCCTCTCATAGGCTTCCTTTATCATTTCCTTTAGACGTTAACTCCTTATCTCCAGGAAGCTCTTTCTGACTTCTTGACCACCTTCTCCTCTAACCTGAGTTGGATCACTTTCCTTTCTGCTCTTGCTTTTCTCTTTTGCCTGACATTATGTTTGTGTAGTTTATGTTGTTTTTGTTTTGTTTTGTTTTCCTAAGCTCCTCTCCACATCAGATTGTGGATGTATTTGCCTTTCGGCAATCAAATCTGATAAGGAATAAAAGGGAAAGCAGGGGATAGATCTACCTCCAAAACAACGTCCTGGGTGTGTTATAAGCTCAGATAAATTTCTCCCTACGATCTTCATTTCTTTGTCTTCTACAGTTGAAACTAATGTTTAACAGTGACTCGGGAATCTTGGATGTCTGAAGTGCCACTGAATTGTGGAAGGAAGAATGGATTTATAGTTAATAATCTTATTAACTTGGGTCTTTTAAATTATATCTTTATTATATGTAATTTTTATGTTTTAACACACCTTAAGTTGGGTCTTACATTACAACTATTAGAATGCTGACATATTTCTTGCTGTATCTACATAGTTAGCATCATACGTCATTTAGAATTTTGAGTTTGAGGTATGTTTTCACTTAAACTATAATATAAAGATAGTAATAATAGTTAATGTTGTTGAACCCTTATGATGGGCCTCATTTAATCATCACAGAAGTTCTATACAGGGTTTGGTAAGCTGCAACCCAAGAATCAAATTTGGCCCACATCCTCTTGGTTTTGGGTGCCCTCCATAAGAAGCTCCAGTGACAAGTTGTGTTACATGTTCAGTTTCTAATAACAATGTCAGCAGTTTGAATTCACCAAGATGTATTATTTTAAGTTTTATGTCAATATGAAAAAAATAAATGTCATGTCCATGGAGTGTTGCACTGCTAAGCCCAAGGCAGAGACTTTCTGGATGTTTGTGTCTATCAGCGGCAACTTGGAAGGCAGTCGTTTCCTGTGTGATTTCTGAAAACCAGTGATTAAGTCAGTTCCAACTCTATGGCAATGAGTTTACATTTGGAGTTACCTAAGTGTGGTTTTTACGTGGTTGGGAAAAATTTAAAAGGAGACTACTGTTGTGTGATGTGTGAAAATGATACCAAATTAAAATTTTAGCATCCAACAATTAGATGATTGTTTTTAAGATAGCCATGGCTATGCTTTTATGTAGAGAGCCCTGGTGGCATAGTAGTAAGAAGTTGTTCTGCCACCAACCCAAAGACAGGTGTTTCAAATCCACCAAGTACTCTGCAGGATAAAGATGGGCAGTCTCT